TAAGCCTTTCGAGCAAGATGATAAGTCCTTCGGGCCATTCATAAGATCTTTGGGCAGGATGTTTTCACATGTCTATTGAAAAATGAGAAAGATTTCTCATTAAAATCTGAAGATTTGAAAAGTAAGAAATGTTTCTTACCTAGTAAATTGTTTCCAAAACTGATAAGTCCTTCGGGCCATCAATAAGTCTTTCGAGCGTGATGATTAAATTATTCGGGTTATCTGTAAGCCTTTTGAGTAAGATGATAAGTTCTTTGGGCCATTCATAAGACCTTCAGGTAGGATGTTTTCACATGATGTTTTAAGAAAATGAAATCTTTGAAAAGTAAGAATACGATTTCCAAAAATTAACACTTAGTAAGTCCTTCGGGCTATCAGTAAGTCTTTCGAGCATGATGATTAAATCCTTCGGGTCATCTATAAGCCTTTTGAGCAAGATGATAAGTCCTTCGAGCCATCCATAAGACCTTCGGGTAGGATGTTTTCCGAGCATGATGATTAAGTCCTCTAGGCCAGCTTAAGCCTTCACCGAAGAATAGTGAAGCAAATCCATTTTAAGCCTTAACCGAAGAGTAGTGAAGCAAAATCAATTTTAAGCCTTCACCGAAGAGTAGTGAAGCAAAATCAATCTTAAGCCTTCACAGAAGAGTAGTGAAACAAATCCATCTCTTATATCCCCTACAGAAATAGTGGAACAAATCCCTTATCAAATTTTAACATGCAAATTAATTCAAATTCAGTCCTAGACGTATATGCACCAGATTACACATTCACATAATGCCAAATAATCCAATTTCATAAACAAACAACAATGTATCAAAAGTCAAATGTTAATAACTAACATTCAATTAATATATACATATATGCTTGCATTATTATATAAAAAAATATTATAAAACATATAGTTACAACGTAGGTTAGAAATGCTAAATAATCCAATTTCATAAACAAACAACAATGTAACAAAAGTCAAATGTTAATAAGGCTTAGTTTGTTTTCACTGTGCAACCTCTTCAAACCTCTTATGTCTGCGCCGCACATACATTAGGCTTCTCAGACCGTTTGTTTTTTAGAAGAAAAAAGCTCTTCTAACGTCTGCGCGAGCTCTTCTTGGTGCAGACAGAATTTTATGTTTTCAAACATCTTCAAGAACAATTATAAAATATGGTTATTTATTAAAATAATTTTAAATAATTTAATAAGGTTATTTATTTTAAAATAAATTATTATAAAAGAATTTATTTTAAAAGAATTTATTATAAAATAAATTATTTTAAAATAAATTATTATAAAATATGGATTGATTTATTTTAAAATAATTTATTTTAAATAATTTATTAGTATGGATTGATTTATTTTAAATAATTTATTAGTATGGATTGATTTATTTTAAAATATGGATTGATTTATTTTAAATAATTTATTAGTATGGATTGATTTATTTTAAAATATAGATTGATTTATTTTAAATAATTTATTAGTATGGATTGATTTATTTTAAAATATAGATTGATTTATTTTAAATAATTTATTAGTAATGATTGATTTATTTTAAAATATGGATTGATTTATTATTGTAGTTGTATAGATTGATTTATTTTAAATAATTTAATAGTATGAGTAGATTTATTTTAAAATATGAATTGATTTATTATTGTAGTTGTATGTATTGATTTATTTTAAATAATTTATTAGTATAGATTGATTTATTTAATAATTTATTAGTATGTATTTAAAATATTGATTGATTTATTTTAAATAATTTATTAGTATGAATTGATTTATTTTAAATAATTTATTAGTATGGATTGATTTATTTTAAAATATGGATGATTTATTTTAAATAATTTATTAGTATGGATTGATTTATTTTAAAATATGGATTAATTTATTATTGTAGTTGTATGTATTGATTTATTTTAAATAATTTATTAGTATTATTTTATTTTAAAATATGGATTGATTTGTTTTAATTTTATTAGTATGGATTGATTTATTTTAAAATATAGTTTGATTTTTAAATAATTTATTGTATTGATTTATTTTAATAATTTATTAGTATGGATTGATTTTTAAAATATGGATTTTTTTTATTGTGTTGTATGGATTGATTTATTTTAAATAATTTATTAGTATGGATTGATTTATTTTAAAATATAAATTGATTTATTTTAAATAATTTATTAGTATAGATTGATTTATTTTAAAATATGTATTAATTTATTTTAAATAATTTATTAGTATGTATTGATTTATTTTAAAATATGGATTGATTTATTATTGTAGTTGTAGATTGATTTATTTTAATAATTTATTAGTATGGATTGATTTTTTTAAAATATAGATTGATTTATTTTGTAGTTGTATCTATTTATTTATTTTTAATTTATTAGTATGAATTGATTTTTTAAATAGATTAATTTATTTTAAATAATTTATTAGTATGTATTGATTTATTTTAAAATATAAATTGATTTATTTTAAATAATTTATTAGTATGAATTGGTTTATTTTAAATAATTTATTAGTATGAATTGATTTATTTTAAAATATGTATTGATTTATTATTGTATTTGTTTGGATTGATTTATTTTAAATAATTTATTAGTATGGATTGATTTATTTTAAATAATTTATTAGTATGAACTGATTTATTTTAAAATATGGATTGATTTTTATGTGTTGTATTGATGATTTTTTTAATAATTTTAGTATGGATTGATTTATTTTAAAATATGGATTGATTTATTTTAAATAATTTATTATTGTAGTTATATGTATTATTTAAATTTTAGTATTGTAAAACTAAAACTATTTAAATCTCAGTATTGCAAAACTCTTTTAAGTTTAAAAAATCAGTTTATTTATATTTCAGTTCATTTTAGCAGTTTGCAGACGTTAAAAAACAAACAGTCTTATTCTTGCAGACTGCAGACTTTTGATCCACCTCTTCTGCTGCAGATGCCTATAGATGTGGTCCGCAGACTGTAGTCCTTTTACCTCTGCAAAAACAAACACCACCTAACTAACATTCAATTAATATATACATATAGGCTTGCATTATTATATAAAAAATATTATAAAACATAAAGTCACAACGTAGGTTGCCAAATGGGTTAAACATAATTATAAATGTAAAAGCACCAATACCTAACACGACTAAAATCATATTTATTACAAATCTTTATCCCTGAATAATATTAAAATTAATTTATAAATTATTAAAATCTAAGGGATTAAATATAATATTTATCCTAAATATATATAAACACTAGCAGATACTAAAATATAAGAAAATAAAAACATATAGGTCATATTCGAAATTTAACACTAAATACAAAATCAGTTATCAAAATAAATATTTTAAAAATGAAGAGCACTATATATAAAATCCATAAAGTATATATAATAACATTCAAGTGACCCAAATACAAATTTTACGAATTCGGTGCATAAAATATAACACAAGTAAAATAAAATAAGTGCTCATAAACCAACTTTGCAAAACACAGAAGCCCCAAAAGTGTAATTTAACCATGCTGAAAATACACAGAAAGTCCCTACTGAAACGGCGTCGTTTCAAACATAATATATATATAGCATTTTAGGCCAAAAAATGACCACCCATCCCATTTGTCTTATGTTAAATCGAGAGTGGAGAGAGAGTTTTAAAATTCTCTCAACCCTCTCCTCCGATGAGAAAAGAAACCACGGCCACCAGCGGAGCTCACAACGACTCATGGTGGCCGGAGAAAACCCAAACTCCCCAAAAGCCTCTCTTCTTCACCCTTAATCCGAATATTAAATCCCTTTAACCAAAAGTTAACCCGAAAGCCCTAGATCTAGTATTATACCTTTCGAAAGTTTAGAATTTCGGTGACTTCTGAGCTTCCTCAATGGCTTTCAGATCAAGGTAAGGTTTTTTTCTTTTATTTCGGTTTTCCCCCCCTTTTTTTTTTCTTTTGATTCGAATGGGTTCCTCTTTTTTTTCCCGAACCCTCACTGGTTATTTCCTCTTCGAAACTTCCCTCCTTTTTTTCGGTATTTTTCATTCTTTTTATCATCGAATCCCATTGCATGTTGATGGATTAGGTAGGAGTAGGTGAGTAATTTTTCTCTGATTTGGTGAAATGAAATCCCGAAAATTTATTGATTTTGGTTGCTTTTTCTTTTTTGACTTTGATGATATTTTCTGTGGTCGATTGGTGTTTGTTGATGTAGGTTGATAACAATGGCTTTGGTGGCGGCTTGATAGCTCAGCGACGGCAGCTGGCTTCGGCTGATGTCTCGGCTCGGCCATGGCGTCGGCTGGCATCTGAGTAGTTGCTGGCATTTGGGCAGAGAAGGGGAAACCCTAATTCTGCCGAGTCAATTACTGGGCTGGGTCACTGGGCCGGGTCGGATCCGGGCCTAGTTCGATTGCTGATGGGTTGCTGAGTGTTGGGCTTCTAGGCTTGGGTTGCAAACAAGTATGGGCTTCAAGGCCTGCAAAATGTAATTTATATTAATAATATATAATTAATATTTATAATATTTTTTAAGCCCGGTCAAAAACGATTGTCTACACGGTGCTTTTAAACTGTGTCACGTAAAAGATAATTTTCTTTTGAATTTTGCAGTTGCAGATGCCAAACATACGACAGCCTCTTGGTCAACATGCACAGATTCCATCACAGGATGCCCAGCATAGTCAGCAGCCAACAGCAGCAGCTGTTTTTCAGATGATTCCTAAAGTACAAAGTCAAATATCTTCTGTGCCACATAATTCATTATCCCACAACCAATTTTCTGCAACTCTACAATCAACTTTGCAGCCTCGGACACGGCTTCCACAACATTCCAGCAATCAAGTTCTACCTTCAGCCGCTGCACATTCTGTAGTTCCCAAACTTCCTTCTATTAACACCTCTGTTAGACCACAAATTCAGGTGGCAAATTCTTCATCTTTGAAACAAGTGCAGCCTTCATTGCCACACTCAGGACAGCTTACAACTGCTAATTAAGTCATGGCAGTCGGATGGTTTTGACAAATGCTGTCATGCAATCAGCACCTGCAACTCATCCCTCCTTATCAGATACCAGCTTCCAGGTGCAAAATCTTGGAACTAGAACATGCCACTAAAGAAAATTTAGTTACGGTTTATGTTAATTAAAAACATGCATCTTTAGATTATGTTCTGATTTGTTCTTATATAGTTTTGTTGAGAGAAATCATCAAATCATTAGATTCGAAAATTTAAGAATTTAGCTGTCCTAGATGTATTTTTAGGTTGCGTTTTGAAAATTTAATAGGAGAACTTGCTAGTTCTATTGCTTTGGAATTCAGTTGGTCAAATCCCACCAAGAGATATTAAGCTGAAGCTGGGTTTTAAGAAAATCTCACTTACACACAGATTCTACATTGAACATATTCTTTTCCTTTTTCATTTGTTGAGCATATCGATGGATCCTTGCCGCTTCCTTTGTCCTCCTGTTCCACAGACAAACAACAGTTGTCTCTCTTGTGATCTTCTTGCGCACGTAGCATTGAATGTATTTTTTTTAAGTTTGTCTAACACTGGATTTTATTTCTTCTAATATTCCAGCATTTCTTATTAACTTCTGTTTTTTTGTTTTTATAACATCCTGGTCCCTCTATAACACATGGCGTTGCGGAGATATCAAATATTGTTCGAAATCCTTCAGAAGCAGTAAATCGGCCTCTGAAAACAGTGAAATTAGATGGAGGAAAAAGCTGCTCGTCCTCATTTGGGTTGAACATGTCCAATGTAAGTGGATCCAGAACATCACAAACATTTGATGTTGATTTAGCACACATTAATCAAATACCTAGAACAGAAGAGGTGCAATATACTGAAAAGCAGGTTTCCCAGGTAATGTATTATTCTTGGGGATATAAAAGTTAAAAACCACATCTACTTTCCTTTGAGTTCAATTACTCACGCATAACAGCTATGGTCTTGATGGAAGAAAATTTCTTCTTGGATTTTGAAGGGAAGGGATTAGATAGGTTTTGTGCAAAAGAAATATAGTTCCTTAACTGCTATCTTTTCTTGATTTATTAGTTTGTTGTCAGGGCCTGATGTTTGTATTGTCTTCTGATATCTATTTAATCATTTTGACAATTTACTGAATCATAAATATGAAATGGTGAATGAAAAATTGCACATCTCAAACGTTTTGATTGAGAAGTGACTATTATCGTTCTATTGATAAGCTTAGAAATAGCTGGGTTATAATTTGGATGTAGTCCTGTCACCTATGTTAAACTATTTTCTTTGATCTCTTTGTTTCTACTTGAATGGGTGCTGTTTTAGTTTGTACCTAATGAATGGGAAAGTAGAGCTTATTGAAGTCCAACCTGCTATAGAATGTAGAGTTTTTGAAGTACTAGCTTGCATTTAATACCATCAAGTTTGGTTTTTTTATTGTCTATTTATAAAACGTAAACTTGTTTTGTCATTTCCTTTAAATGCAAGTATACTTTTTTAGAGATCTAGAAGTAGGTTAATAAAAAAAAGTATCTATAACCAAGTTATTATAATCATGATGCTGGCCATTTTTTTAACCAAGTCTATCGGCCAATGTTAAATGCTTTTGCATACCCGTGATAAGATAGCACTTAAGCTATCAAAGGAAAACGAGAGAAGAAGCTCAACTCTTTGTAATCTTTTATTAACAAGAAGCTGAAAAACCCTTGAGTTAGAGACCAGCTATTTATACAAGAGTGAAGAGAAGCATCTGCTGTATAACAAACTACTAACAACTCATAACAACCTAACTGCTTGTAACTACAAGCTAACAGAAACTATTCTAGAACTCACACAACACACGTATATAATAGACACATGTTCATAAGCCTAACATTCATCCTACATCATTAACCTCTTTAGCATTTGCTTCAGCTTTGTACAGTGAACTCTTTTACTTCCATATTCCCCCTGCCACTTCAACTCTGTAAATTTCCAGAAAAGCCTCTTGGTTGTGTTACCAAGAGTTTATGCCTGTGCTTAAGAAACGAAGATGAAAAGAGCGGCTTTGTCAAAACATCTGCCACCTGCTCATAAGCAGGAACCTCATTAACCTATAATCGACCATCAACAACCATTTCTCGTACAAAAAATAAGTCAAGCTCAACATGCTTGAACTTAGAATGCTGAACAGGATTGGCACAAACGAAAAGAGTGCTGGAATTATCACACCATAAGGTAGCCTTACCATGTGGAACAACGCACAACTCTTGAAGCAATGATTCAATCCAAACAATATCAGCGGCTGCAGAGGCAACACTCCTATATTCAACCTCAACTGTGGATGGAGCAACCACTTGCTGCTTGCGCGAGCTCCAGGAAATGAGATTTCCACCAAAGAAAATGCAATAGCCAAACGTAGAGCGCCTATCATCAGGATTGGATCCCCAGTCTGCATCCACAAACCCAGTCAGAGACATACGAGAAGACGTTGTAAAACGTAAACCATAATCAGCCGTTCCTTGAAGATAACGTAAAATCCTCTTAGCAGCTTGAAAATGATTGTTGCGAGGTGACTGCATGAACTGGCAGATTTTGTTTACTGCAAATGCAATGTCTGGCTGAGTAACTACTATGTATTAGAGAGCTCCTACAATGCTTCTGTATTGAGCTGCATCTTCAATGAGATCCCCAACATCAGTTGACAACTTGCAATTGGAGACCATAGGAGTAGGAAGACTCTTCACATCACCAAACCCATGCTTATGTAGCAGCTCGCGAATATATTTTTTCTGAGTCAACACAACCTTCTCCATCAGGACATACCTCAATACCAAGGAAGAAACTAAGAGAACCAAGATCCTTTAACGAAAACCGAGTATGCAATTTTTCAACAACACATTGCACCTCACAAGCATCACTTCCCGTTACATGATATCATCAACGTATACGAGCATGTAAACAACATTGCTAGTTGATTTTTGAACAAACAAAGATGAATCAGACTTAGATAAAACAAATTGCTTAGAAACCAGATATTCTCGAAGGCTCTCAAACCAGGCTCGAGGAGCTTGCTTTAAACCATAAATTGCTTTGTGCAGTTTGCAAACCAGCCGACTATCACCTTGAATAAAACCAGGAGGCTGAGTCATGTAAACCTCTTCCAACAACATCCCATTTAAAAAAGCATTGTTGATATCTACTTGTCGCAGCAACCATCCTTTTGTCAAAGCAAGAGTATCACTAGTACAGTAACAGGCTTTACAACTGGACTGAAAACTTCATGAAAATCAATCCCCGGCTGTTGAAGAAACCTTTTGCCAGAAGACGAGCCTTGTATCGAGACACCGACCCATCAGCATTGCGTTTCACCTTAAAAATCCACTTGCAATTGACAGGTACCCGATTTTCAGGAAGGGATACAAGAGACCAAGTCTTATTGGCAACCAAAGCATCATATTCTTCTTGAGCAGCTTTCTTCCAATGAGGAAACTTCATAGCTTCCTTAATAGTCCTAGGTTCTTCATCAAAACATTCAACATGCAAAATACGAGGTTTTCGAATACCCTCTTTGGCCCTGGTAACCATAGGATGTAAATTATGAACCGAAACAACTCGTGATGGAGAAGAACGAATAGAAGCTTCAGACCCTTCATTTGCATGAGATGGTATGTCATTTGCACAAGGAGCAACTAGCTCACCAGATGCATGGGAAGTTATTTCACGTGCATGAGAACCCTCATCAAGTGAAGATGGGCTAAACAAAGGCTCATGTACAGGTGTGCTACCCAGATTACAAGAAACATCATGTGCCTCAATGTCAGCAGAAATAGAAGTAGACACAGGCTCCTCAATAATAGGAGACTGTGCAGGACTTACAGCACGTGAACTACTTGCATTTAAGGGAGCAGCTGTTGTCTGCACATAAGAGACAAGAGAAAACACACCTGTCGAGACACCATTGTCAGGAGAAGAAACACGTGAAACATTACACACCTCATAAGGGAAAACCCTTTCATAAAAAACAACGTGCCTCGAAATAAATATCTTGCTAGAATCATCGAGGCATTTATATCCCTTATGGGCAGTGATATACCCCAAAAACACACATTTCTTTGACCTAAAATCCAACTTATGTCGATTAAACAATCGTAAGCAAGGATAACAAGCACAACCAAACACTTTGAGAAAAGAATAATCTAGCAAGACACGATGTAGGACTTTAAATGGAGACTTGTCATGCAAAACAGGAGTGGGTACCCGATTAATAAGATAAACAGCAGAAACAAAAGCATAACTCCAAAACTTTTGAGGTAAAGAAGCCTGAGCTAACATGGTCAATCCTGTTTCAACAATGTGCCTATGTTTCCTTTCAGCCCTACCATTCTGCTTTGACATACCAGGACACGAGAGACGATGTTGAACTCCATTTGCACAAAACCATTTTCGAAGTGATTGATACTCCCCACCACCATCAGTTTGAAGGGCTTTGATTTTATATCCAAACTGAACTTCAACAAACTTTGCAAAATCAAGAAAACACTAAGCCACCTCAGATTTTCGTTTCAAAAGATATATCCATGTGTAACGACTACAAACATCAACAAAGGAAACATACACTCAACTCTTCAGTTTTATTGGAAACAATATTACATGACTTCATAACAAGTCGAACTATATCAAGCAAAGGATGACCAAGATGTTGATGCCACAAGTTCAAAGAAGCGAGGGACTTCGAAACATTATTCACCAAGGTAGACGAACCTTGATCCTTACAAGGTAGCAGCTGATAGAGACCATCACCCGTGAGCCTCCCGCGAAGCAGAACCACTTGAGTTCGAGCATCCTTCACAAGACATTCAGAAGGGTGAAATTCCATGAAAACATCATTGTCACGAGTGAACTGAGAAACAAACAACAGCTTTTTCTTTATGTTAGGTACATGCAGCATATTTTGTAAAAGTAAAGGCTTCCTATTTGAGCTCAAAAAACCTTGACCAACATGTGTAATTGAATACCATCACCATTGCCCATGAGCAAAGAATTATCTCCCGTATAAATAGTACCTGATTGAAACACAAAAAGATCATTTGTGACATGGTGTGTAGCACTAGTGTCAGGGTACCACAAGGAGTCAGTAAATTGTGACGAACTAGACCCGGAGTTAGTTGGAACAGTGGATACATAGGCTGCTGAACTAGGAGTCAAAAAGGAGGGGGATGTACCATGAGGACCATAAGAAACATTCGAAGGAAACCCAGGAGAAAAGCCAGGAAAAGAGTAATATCCTGGAGCATACGGAGAAGGAAAGTAAACTGGAGTGGGAACAAAGTTTGAGTGTGAAGGCATGGAGGTTATGGTGTGAGCATAAGTTTGTCCACCAGATTGCATGTGTTTGGTAGAATTCCCAGCACCAGAGGACTTCGAACCATTCTCAGTCAACAACTCAGATCCAGACACATCAGTGTACTCCCTATCAAATCGATGATAACATTTTTGGACCACATGCCCAAATCGGCCACACAACTGACATTGAGGACGATTTTGATGACGCCCTCGACCACGATAGCCATTCGACTGACCACAAGACAAATGTCCCTGTGATGACCCAGTAGTAGTATCCTGAGTTCCACAAGTATTAGTTTCAGCAGTATCACCTTCTCGAGAGTGAAGAACAAGATTTACAGAAATGCCTTCACTCAAGAACACCTTCTGTCGAGCCTCACAGTCTAACGACATTTCAGTAAGAACATCAAGAGACAAGATTTCTCGCGACGCAATTGAAATAATGGATTCAAATTCCATTGTAAGCCCAACTAACACAACATTAACATGTTCTTGCTTAGTAACCATACTACTCGAAGCATTCAACAAGTCACAAATGGACTTAACTTTAGCATGATATTCCCTAATCGTCAAACCATCTTTTCGTTGGGAATGAAGATTATACCGGAGAGAAGATATTTTAGCATTGGAACGAGCATCGAATAAACGAGATATAGTATTCCAAATTGACATTGCCGTTGTAAGACCAGTCAAGTGAGGCAGAACTTCTGTACTCACAGTAGTTAAAAGCCAAGAAGCAAGCAGTTTATCTTGCTGACAATAAGTTGCAAACCCTGGATTATCTTCAAGCTGACCAGAGGCATTAGTAACAAATTCATCAGGTGCAACTGAACCAGCAGAGATGAACCTCAGCAACCCATAACCGTCAATATCAAAGCCACTTGATGCTTCCAAAGAAGATAGGTGGACTCAGTGAGTTTAACCGTATCATGCTTTGGTATGTGTTGAATGCCAAACATACCTCGAGAAGCTCCCGGACTTAAGGAAGAAGCATTTGGAGACACATCCTCAGGATCACGAGTGGGATCAATCGTCAAATCGACCATGATACCAAGAATCCACACACGATATCAAGACTAGTCTAAACTTGTGCAGCCACCGGAATGAGGACGAAACAGAAAGAACAGCGGAAGAAACGCGCCCAGGTATTGGCCAAAGATACCATGATAAGATGGCACATAAGTTATCAAAGGAAAACGAGAGAAGAAGCTCAACTCTTTGTAATCTTTTATTAACAAGAAGCTGAAAAACTCTTGAGTTAGAGACCAGCTATTTATACAAGAGTGAAGAGAAGCATCTGCTGTATAACAAACTACTAACAGCTCATAACAACCTAATTGCTTGTAACTACAAAGCTAACAGAAACTATTCTAGAACTCACACAACACACGTATATAATAGACACATGTTCATAAGCCTAACAATCCGTAGGAGAAATATTTGGCTTTTTTTTCTTTTTTGTTGAAATTTTGGAATATTTTATGCTATTCATAGTCAAATGAAGGCTGATTTGATATTAATTGTGAAAGTCATGATCGGCATCATTGTTGTTTCTCAGCCACAACTGGCACCGGATGTTGAGTCTGTTTTACTGCAGCTAGTGTTAAACCTAACACCAGAACAGTTGAGTTCATTGCCACCCGAACAGCGCCAACAGGTCATTCAACTCCAACAGGCACTTCGGCAAGATCAGATGCAGCTGCCATCATAGCAGGTAAGGCTTTCAGTACAACTTTTGTCAACAATGTCATCTTCCATCTTTTTTTTAAGCTTTCTGGAAGAAGTGCTCTGTTGTGGGTTCTTTCAAATTCCCAATGCTTGTAAAATTATAATTTAATTCTTAGATTCGATTGCAAATCTCATCATGTCACGTTTATGACCTTTTAAGAATACACAAAAGAACCAGTGAGAAGAAAAAAATAGGAAAATGAAAATTGTCTAATCTTCTACATTGTCCGACACTCGAGTACTCGTTAGTGTTACTGGTGTACTACTTATCTTTAACTTGGCCTGTAGTTTACCTCGGGACAAGGCTTTTTTTCCCCTTCCCTCGTGTAAGTTCTTTTTGTACCCTAGAAGGATAAAAAGTTGGATCACTTGCCGGATTAGCCAATACATTTTCGGAATCCCATATACATTCTTGGATTTTTGTGTTGATTGTCTTGTTAAGAAACGTTCACAATATTATGCAGCCGTGGTTTTAAGTAGATTTCTCTAATCGTAGAATATAAGGTTTTGCGTTCTCTCTTCAACTGTTCATGGATCGAGCTAAGCCGAATTATTTCGAACTGTCAAAATAAAGAGTCCTATTTGATCCATAGTGTTTGGAAGGTCGTTTTTCTATAATATAGTAAAAAAACTTTTAAACTGCTTTTTTTATATTTTTAATTTGATAGTATTTATATTATTTCTCTCGCTTTTTGGCATAATACTATTTAAAGAGTTATTTATATGTATAAATTTCAATGCATAATAATTGTTGCGAGCATTCCGGAGGAGAGAACAAGTAATGAGGGAGTTGATTTGACTGTGGATGATAATAATTTCAAATCCAGGAACAGAAATTTTAATTTAAAAATAAAACAATTAAAGTGATTAACTGTAAATCAAAATCAAAACTGCAGTAGAAACCTGAGTGTTACATTTACATTAAGATTTCATTTTCAACATCCATAATGGTTTCAATTATTCTGAAGTCGAGATTATTGACGGTTATATATATACTACTTTCAACGGATTTGCATTTTTAAGGGATTTTCCGTGGATAATTGTGTAATCTTAGACCCATTCTCATGTAAATTTATCTCCAACAATGATTAATCAATAAGAAATCTCATAAAAAAAAATTGAAAGAGAAAATTTCTCACACATATATACGGTATCTTTATCATTTGAGTTAATTGAGACTACATTCTTCGATTAAAGAACATATATATATTTTTAAAGGGAGCATTTTGTATGGTTTTATTGATAACGCATAAAAAAACGACACAAACATGGGTCTCGTTAAAAAAACTTCTTAACCCTAAATGAAGGAAAAATAGTACCCCATGCTCGTGAGCAGTTCCCAAACAAAATTAACAAAACGGATCTTACAATGATAGCAATATAGTACATTCAAGTATAACACTATCAACCAAATCCTTAATTCAATAGCAACAACAAACAAGGGTCAAGGATTCCAAACAGCATACCGACCCAAATTCAATCACCCGTCACTACTAGCAGGAAAACAACGACAATGAGATATATCCCAGCAAAACAATTCAAACAGCATACCGACCCAAATTCAATCACCCGTCACTACTAGCAGGAAAACAACGACAATGAGATATATCCCAGCAAAACAAATTCAAACCGATGAATGCAGTAAGACCCAAACCAGTAACAAAATAATCAGAACCTCACAGACCCGTTCCAGAAGTAGGACACTCAGCAGACACATGAAAAGAACAGACACATTGAGGATTAGCACTACCAAAAAACCAATCATCCATCACCGAAAAGGATGGCTTCTGGGCACCTAACGGACTCTTGTACTGAAGGAATCAGCATCGACCAGTTGCAATTAGCCTAGACCCCAATCCGAAACAACGCTAATTCAAACATTTTATCTACAGAGAGAGAGGCATTATTATAAAGGACTTCATTCTTGCACAACCAACAACTCCAAATAAGACCGAAAAAATCCAAAATTCAAACTGGTTGGACCTTCCTTCTCACCCTTTGATTATTCCATATCACAAGCAGCGATTTCACATTCTCTGGAAAAACAAGGTTAATCCTCCAAGTTCTGCACCATCTCTGCCAAACATTCCAAACTTTATCACAGTGACACAATACATGATTTATCGATTCTGGCTCCCTTTTACACAAAACACAACTGAGGTTTTCTGCCAAGGACACAACACGTTTTGATAGTTCCTGAAGAGTAGGAATTCTATGGTGCACAGCCTTCCAAACAAACCAGCACCTTTAGGAGGAGATGTTTTAATCCATACTAATTTCCAAATAGGATCCTCAATTATCCCATCACAGGAAACCCGAATGCAATAGCATTTTGGCGAGTATTCCCCACAGGGCGAACCTATCATTACCCAATTTAAAGAAAATTAGAATAAAAATAAAAGGTTAAAATTTAGAAGCAATTTAATGAAATTTGGGGACCAAATTATAAGTTTTCATAACTTGTAGGATGTTTTAGAAGTTGCAGGAAATTTAGCGACCTATTCCTAAATTTGCCCATTTTCTATTGGTAGACAAAAAATAAATAAAAGAATTGGGTTAGGTGACTGCAGGGTGGCAAACCCCTGCCACCGGTAAGGCCGACCATTGCCTAGCCATTTAGGTTAGGGTATTTTGTTAAAATATTTATTAAATACATCTTATATGGGGATTAAAGCTCTGGTTTAATACCCAAAATTAAAATCCTCAACTTAAACCCTGAACCCTTAACCCCAAATTTCATCTCCTTATTGACCCTCTTTATCGCCTTAATCTATAATTTTCCAGCCACCGTTCATCGCTCTGACACCACCAATAGACTCACTGTTGACTGGCGACTAAAACCCGACCCTTATTCCGTCGTGAATCATTGTCATTTACCGTGGAAGAGCCAAGAAAAGCCTCGTCGACGCATATATTTTCGTCGATTCCGGTCGCCTCCGTCGTTGTCTCGTCGCACCGCCACCTCCATTACATTCACCATTGTCGTACGAACAAAACCTGTCCAATTTTGTTCCTCGTTGATGTGTCGTCGCCGATCATCGTTTGGGGTAAGTTTCGATAGAAGATTCCGGTGATTTTTGGCTTATGTTGTTGTGAAATTGGTTGATTATTGCATGAATTAGAGTGTGTAGAAGATAAAAGAGTAATCAGTTGGTTGAAATGAACCCCATCGTCGTCGCACGTGCCGCCATGTGACGGTCCAAGAAGTTTCTAGAACTGGTCCAGCCAGAACCGAACCGATTTGACCGACCCTACTCGAACTGAGTTGACCCGGCCCGAACCGTTGACCGGTCAGAACGTTGACTTTGATCGAAAAAGTTAAAATTTTCTAAAAGTCTTATTTTATGTTTTTTGAGGTCCTTTGTCCGATTTTGAAGTTCGTTTTGCCAAATTCAAACCCGAAAGCCTCCAAATTAATCGTCAAACCTGAACATGCACATGCATTTAAGTGTTTTAATTTCGAATAATTAAAGTAAGACTTGAGACTGGTAAATTGTTGTTATTTGAAGGTACAAGAAACTTATCTGATTGCTCTCCAACTTGACCCAACTCTTCTCGATCCGCTAGACCTTATGAGCCGATGGTCACTCGTATGACCCGTGAAGCTTATGAATACCCAGATTAGAATATTACTTCGATATTAACTCAGTTTGCTATGAATTAGGTTCGAGCACTGTAGCAGAGCGAACAAGGTTGGTGCTCAGTAAATTTGTTGTTTGCCCCTATTTTGTGAGGTGTGTTCCCTATGTGCTACCCGATTATTTTATCTAATTTGAAATATGTTTCACTGAAATTTATGATTTATTGATTGATGGTTTATGGACTACGACTTAATGATACATGATATTTGAATATTTGTTTTCGCTAGAAAATTTGATTTTGCTGAATACGAATCATGAAAATTACTGTTCATTATGTGAATTGTTTCATTTAAAAATTTTCTTTGGGTAGGCTGGAGAATGGAGATTCAACTCTGATCAAACTGGTAAATCCTTACGGACTTAAGGCGATGCTTGGGTAGGCTCTGTGACCCCGAGATCTTTCTTGGGTAGGCCTTCCGGCCTCGAGATCTTTCTTGGGTAGACCCTGTGGCCCTAAGAACTTTCTTTGTAGGCTCTCAGGCCCCAAGATATTCTCTTAGGTTTCCTCCTTATATCTAATAGGTATAAGGTAAGTCCTATGGATACAGTTCCGATGAACTACATATAGTGTATGGGAGGAGGGTAAACTACGAGTTTTAAAAACTTAATCTTTATCAAGATTTCCATGATATTTTACTGAATTATTACTTGATTGCTTTACATACTATGCTTTAATTGTACTATTGGGACACACTGAGCCCTAGCTCACTTTTCAAATTGTTTTACCCCCTTTCAGATACTTTTGGATAGGCACTCGAATCAGGCACTCGGAGGATCGACACATTCTTGAAGAACTTTTTGTTGTAATGTTTCTATCTTCCGAACTACTTTCAATTATGGTGACATGTGCCTTTATTTTGAAGTAATTATTTTTATGATGATGTTTACTTCTTTTGGCTACCGATACTTGATTTACCATGACTTAGATTTATGACATGTTTTGTTTTACTCAGTCTCTTTTAGTTTTATATTTACGAGTTGGTTTTTATCGTTATTTATTATACTTTTATAAATGTTATTTGTAATATGATTTTAAATTATCGAATAATATTTCTGGAAAATGTTTTTAAGAATTTTTAATGTAATCCGTTAGACTTAGTCGAAATACATAGATTGGGTCTTGGGGTTATATTTTAGTGGCATCAGAGCTTTTGGTTTTTAAACCTCGGAATGAAAATGGGTCCATATAAAATTCTACACTATTTCGAAAATGTTTTAAAAAATTTCTATAAGGCCATGTCACCCATTTTTACAAGTTAAATGTGTCCATACTCTAGTGTCAATCTAACTTTAAGTTTACCTCTTGTAGTGAATTTGAGATTCTTCTCGATGAGTGCTAGATGAGGTCATCGACCTAGCCGTGGGCGAGGTTGAACTGTTAGATTTACTGATCCTATAGATTACTCTACTATAGACCCGCCACCTACTCCCGAGATAAATATGACGACCTCTGTTAGAGGAGCTACGGACTCTAGCTTTGAGCCTACGAGAGTGGTGCTAGATGAGACTCTCGGTATGCAATTTCTGCAACTGATTCAGGGC